CCGGGGAGAGCGGAGCTGCAGCGGGCTCGCCGCCGGGGAGAGCGGAGCCGCGGCCGGGCTCGCCGCCCTCCCCCCGGCACTCTGGCCGCTGGGGAGAGCGGAGCCCTGGCCGGGATCGGCGCCCTCCCCTGCCGCACTGGGGGGGGAGGGGGGGGAGGGAGGCTTTTTTTGCCTGGGGCGGCAAAAAAGCCAGAGCCGGCCCTGAGTAAGGAGAGACACAAAAATCACTCCAGTGCTGGTAGCGTTCCACTACCTTCCCACAGTGCCCCCTGCAGGCCAGACATTCTCCCACAATTGACTGAGGGGAAAAAAAACAAAAACCAACCCTAGAGCATCTCAGCACAAAAACCATGGGCTAGGCCCCCAGACACACACAGGGGAACACAGAAACATACACACTAATGGGGCCGGGGCTTTGTTGTGGGGATGTCACACCTAAGCTATGCTAACCTGAGTGCCCAGACCTAGGTGCCAATCACCCAGGTTAGCTGTACAATGAAGACAGACCCTATGATTTTACCACAGAATGTTGCCAAACACCTGTCTTCTTCTGCAGCGTGGTCACCTCCCCCTCCACTAGGTCTCCTTGTGGTACCTGCACTGTCTGCAAACCCATCTCTCCTCACGCTACAGCGGGGTATTGCCACCGCCCCCCCCCTCATCTGCTGGCTGGAGGCCATAACTTTACACCCTAATAATTCAACTACCACTGATGGAGAAGCTCCTTTAGCTCACATCAGAGACCTGTGGTTTTGGAGCAGTGGATCCCAAATTCTAGCTTGGCCAGGGGACGCACTGGATGACTGAGGAGCCAGCCACAGGAGTATGTGAGCGAGACTCAGGTTCCTTCATTCAAGCCTGGGTGTCATGAGTGCAAACATGCCCATTTGGCAGCTGGTCTCTTCACATCCAGCCCCAGGTAAGAATCATCTCCCCCTTCCCAAGGACATTTCTGACAAGGGGAGGGATGTGAAAATTCTCCTCTGGTCACATGAAATAGCTTCCTTGTGCCAGTTTCCAACCCAGACCCCCCACTACAGAACGGACAACCAAACAAGAGGGAGCAGCACCTGGGAAAATCCAAATCACTCATGCTCAGATTTAGCTGTGAGGGCAGAACAGGTTCGGGGGTAGGGGAGCAGGGTGTTGGACCTCCACAAGCATATAAGGTGGACAGAGAGCTGGCTAGATTGTTGGGCTCAATGGGTAGTGATCAGTGGCTCCATGTCTAGTTGGCAGCCGGTATCAAGCTAGACAGAAGTTCTGCAGAGAAGGACCTAGGGGTTACGGTGGACGAGAAGCTGGATATGAGTCAACAGTGTGCCCTTGTTGTCAAGAAGGCTAACGGCATTTGGGGCTGTATAAGTAGGGGCATTGCCAGCAGATCGAGGGACGTGATCTTTCTCCTCTAGTCGACATTGGTGAGGCTTCATCTGGAGTACTGTGTCCTGTTTTGGGCCCCACACTAGAAGAAGGATGTGGAAAAATTGGAAAGAGTCCAGCAGAGGGCAACAAAAATGATTAGGGGGCTGGAGCACATGACTTATGAGGAGAGGCTGAGGGAATTGGGATTGTTTAGTCTGCAGAAGAGAAGAATGAGGGGGGATTTGATAGCTGCTTTCAACCACCTGAAAGGAGGTTCCAAAGAGGATGGACCTAGACTGTTCTCAGTGGCAGCAGATGACAGAACAAGGAGCAATGGTCTCAAGTTGCAGTGGGGGAGGTTTAGGTTGGATATTAGGAAAAACTTTTTCATTAGGAGGGTGGTGAAGCACTGGAATGGGTTACCTAGGGAGGTGGTGGAATCTCCTTCCTTAGAGGTTTTTAAGGTCAGGCTTGACAAAGCACTGGCTGGGATGATTTAGTTGGGGATTGGTCCTGCTTTGAGCAGGGGGTTGGACTAGATGACCTCCTGAGGTCCCTTCCAACCCTGATATTCTATGATTCTAAGCATACCAAAGAAAGCAGATGCCTACCGTGCTGATAGACAGATGGACATACAGAGACACTGTTCTCAGGACTCATCTTGCTACAGTGTAAACACATGTGCTTTTCCTTAAATAGATCTTTCCTGCTCTCTCATCCAGCCCCCCTATGGGATCACACAGAATCAGATGCGGCTAAGGATGATGCACTTCGAACGTGAACAGATGGAATTTCTGAGATGCCGAGCACTGGCCCACCAACAAGGTTTGCAGGTACTCAAAATCTGAGCAAGAAAATAAAAGCCATGTGATTAACGGCCTGGTCTTTACAACGGTGAGGCGCGTGACACACAGCCAGATCGGCAGGTGCCATGACACCAGATCAGCAGCATTGCACCCCTCACCTGGGGCATAAACTCCAGCTGAGAGCAGCCCCGAGGAGGCTCAATTCCACAAAGTCACAGCTCCAGTCCCCTCCTGCTCCTGGACAGGTAGGCCTGGGAACTGCCTGCCTATGGCCTTTGTGCCCTAACCTCTGGAAGAGAAGAATCAGGCCCAGATGAAGGGGGATGTCCTCGTGTGAGAAAAAAAGAAAAAAGAGAAGGATAGTTTAGCACCAGGATGCCCCCGTCACTCTGCCCTAGGTTTGTGCGCTGGTTAAAAAAAAAATACAATAAATTAAGGCCAAAAAAAAAGTATGATAATAAAATAGAAAAATTATCCCCTGAAAAGAATGAGGCATGGCAGAGACACTTGCCTTCCCTCCTCTGAGCCCCATAATATCCCCCCCCCGCACCTGGTATGCTCTCCCACACCTCCCCAAAGTTGCAATGCTTCAACGGTGAACCGCAAAGAAGGCAATGTTTTTGGCCTTGCATGATGGCCCCCAGCCAGCTGGTTGGTTCAGTGTGGAGTGCAAAGCTCACCTCAGCTTAGCTGCTTTGAGGAAGGGCCAGGCCCCCATTGTCCTTCGGGGCCTGAGAGAGGCACCACTGCTACCAGCCCTTTTTGGACTCTGCAGTGTGAGTAGGACAGCAAAGGAGAGAAATAAACAATGGCAGGGAAATGGAGGCTCGTGGAAGGTGGCGCCCCGCATCTCTGCCATTTTGGCCTGGCGAAGGTCCCATGCCCCTGATCTTTGCCATCTTGGCCTGGCAAAAGTCCCACATCCCTGGCCATAGATGAATAGAAGACCCCACGCTCACAGCCCAGGGGGCCACTCTGGTATGAAGTAGAAAATAACGCCGTAATGATTCTATACTTTGGTACGTAACCTCCTGCCCCACCCCATCAAACACACCCATCTGCGTGTGTAAAACTTGTTAAATAAAGCCCGTGCCTGCCCTTCGTGTCATCCTTTAACCCTTTCCTTTCCCGTTCTGACACATCAGAGGGATCCGAGAGGCGACTTGCAGAGCCTCGCCCATTACAGCTTCTGTTGTCCTGACTGGATCCTCCTGAAGGCCTCCATGTCCAGCGGGAGGTAGCAGCCTTGCCTGGAGTCCAGGAAGTACAGCTTGTCCTTCACCACGGCGGGGTCAAATCCGTCCCTGCGCAGCTCCATCTTCTGGAACTTGTAGGTGCCTGGGGTGGAAGCAGCAAGGGGTTAGGGGCAGCGGTGGGGAAGGAAGGTGGCCTGTGGATATCATGGTAGATCCCTATTCCTCCATTCCACCTTCTCAATATGTGCCTCCCTCTTTGGAAATCAAGCCTGCCACCCTCCACTGCCTCTAGGACCACCCACAAAGAGAGAATCAGCCCATCCACCCCTTGTCAGATCCTGCCCACAGCATGGCTGAGATGGGACTAGCAGACATAACCCTTGCTAACCGGATTCTAGGGCTATGCCGCACCTTTGGTGAGCCGTTTGCATCAGGGACTGAATTTAGGGCCTCTCCATCTCAAAGTGAGAGTCTCTATTGACTGAGAACCCTCTGCTATGAGGCCCAGCCACCCCTAGAGGAGGACAGAGCACCACATTGAGCGAGCGTGCGTTCCACCAGCACTGTTCTCTCACCGTGCGCTGCAGACCATGGCCCCATGGAAAGCTCACAGTGCAGGCCTCAGCATCACCTCCCCACCCCCCATCTTCCCTGCTCATGCTAGAGTGTCACTACCGACCGCCGGGTTTAAAGACACAATCAGTCAACCAGAGGGGCCAAGACATCCAAGAGCCAGGGCCTGGCGCCCCACAGCTTTACAAGGCGTGTGGTCACCAGCATACACGGGTGTCAAACGCCCAGACGCCATCCCAGTGGAGGGAGCGAAAAAGAAAAACGGACTTGCTAACAAGTGAGACTTTCCAGTCCCTTTGCACGCCGAGAATTAAGCCGCCCCAACCCACATGCCATAGGTCAGGACACCCCCATTTTAGAGGGGGAAGCTGCGGCATGGACGGGGAAGTGACCCACCTAAGGTCACACACTGAATCAGTGACAGTCAGGAATAGACCCCTGACTTCAAGTCTCCCCTATTCCAGACAGGTCCTTTCCGGAAGCCAGGAGAACACTCCCGGCTTTTTGTCAATTCAAAAGGAAAGTGCCCCCAGCTGGGGCGGACTCACTTGTCTTGTGGACTTCTGCCAGCACTCGCAAGAAGACGGGCCGTGCGTACAAGGGCAGGGCCTTCTTCAGCTCATTGGCAAAGCTCTCCAGGTTGCAGGAATTCTTGGGGTCAGCAATGGCTGCCATCCCTGCCTTCCCCTCGGTGCCTGGAACACAGGACAGAAGGTGATGCACACAGTAGGAGGGGGCTGGTGCAATCACTCACATACACACACACCCTAGCCCGGGAGCAGCTTCAGCAAGCTCGGTGCGCCAGCTGGCCCTGGACACAGCTTGCCAGGCCTGCAGCAATATGCCTAAAACAAGACACAACATAGCCGCAGAAACCCACAACAAGACAGATAATCCAGAGGGCTCTGGATTGCCAGGCCGTTAGCAATGTGTTTAAGAGGCAGAGGCACTACGCACACAGCCCCAAGGCTCACCTTAAATAATGCATCAGCGACACACACTCTCCATCCTTCAGCACCACATACATACACCTCAGCCCCCAACAGCGACCCCCTTGCCAGCGTCTCCGGCATCAGCCCCTGGTTGAACACACATCCAGGAAAGCCCCAATCTCTCAGCACTTCTGCGCTGGCTTTGGCTGGACTCCGTTGCCCTACAAGCCAAGATACCAGCAATACCCAGTGGTCACCTCATCCCATTAGAGCTGCCTTTGGCTGAGTTAACGCCAGAGGTTAGCGAGAATGGGGTTGGCTCTGCCCTGCACCTTGTGTTGTCATTCACACCCAGGCAAACCAGATCGACTGGAAACTCTCACCTAAAGTGTTTCATGCACCCATGGCCTAAAGATGGGAGGTTCTGCATCCCAATCCTGACCTTTCCTCCTCCCTCTCCCATGCAGCAGGATAAACAATGAGACTCTCAGGATGGAGACCAAGGCCCAGGCACCAAGTGCCAAAGGGACGAAGGGCCATCACCCCCGAACTTAGGACAAAGGAAGGCTGGCAAGAGCAGAGGGCCGCTCCCCTCAGCCCTGGTTACCTGGCACCTCCACCCCGTAGACGACGACGTCTGTCATGTGGAGGATGCGGCTCAGAGTCCCCTCCACCTCTGTCGTGGAGACATTCTCGCCCTTCCAACGGAAGGTGTCCCCAGTGCGGTCCCGGAAGTACATGTAGCCGTATTCATCCATCATCAGCACGTCTCCTGCGGGAGCCGGAGGAAGTCAGAGGAGCCTACAGGCTCCCAGGGTCGGAGTCGCCGTAACACTCTGCTCTTCTAGAGTGCCCTCCAGCCAGGCCTCACTATCCCCCAGCCTGAGGCAGGTCAGATTGTTAGCGCCATTCAACAGCTGGGGACTGGGGCCACAGAGAGGGGAAGCGACCTGCCCCCCAGGAGTCGTGGGCAGAGCTGGGATTAGAACCCAGGAGTCCTGGCTCTTGGGCCGCGCAGAGCAGCGGAAGGAAGCATGGTCAAGTAGTTAAAGCAACAACCTGGGCGTAACAATATACCAAGACCCTGCCACTGGATTCGTTGGGTGACCTTGGACAAAATCACTTCCCCTCAGGGTCTCAAAAGGATAAAGTATCCCGCCCCAGTTCTTGGGTCAGGGAGTGCGGCTGGGATTCTTAATTCCTGTTTGCAAAGTGGTTAGAGAGGGCAGATGGGAGGCTCTGGAAGGGTAAGTGTGATTGAGCGAGACCGCCAGGTATGGATAGGGACAGCAAGCAGAGGATTGACCAAAGGCCTTGCTGGGACTCGCAAGGCGACCCTGGAGACCAAATGAACCTGTCAGCGTCAACCCCCTCCTCTCGGGGTGCACCCTCTGCAGCTAGGGGACAAGGGCCCTCACCGGTAAGATACGTCAAGTCCCCCTTGGCGAACACGTCATGGGCGATCTTCTTGCTGGTGGCCGACTGGTTCAAGTACCCGTCGAAGTGCAGCAGAGGGTCACTCTGGATGATGCGTCCGACCAGCTGTCCCGGCTCCCCTGCGGGCAGAGAGAGTGAGGGATATGCTCAGTCCCTGCCACTCTGCTGTATCAGAGACAAGAGTACACAGCGATTGCCAGCCCTGCATGGTGTGCACACATCCTGACTCCGCGGGAAGAGGAGATGCTTTCGGGAGGACACGGGGGCTCTATTGTACAAACATCTCTTAGCGCGCCAGTGTCCAGTTTACCTCAGCAAGCTTCCCTCACGCTGCCCTCCCAACGGAGCTCAACCCTGACCCAAAGGGACCTCCGACTGAGCTCCTCTCTCTGCCCTGTCTCCATGGCCCATTCAGTCCCTGGCTCTCCGCTGAAACTGCCCCCAGGATGGCCAGGGAGTGCCAGCTGTGATAGTGATAGCAGCAACATGGGAACTGGGCTGAGAACCATCACACTCACTTCACACCTGACACCCAACCTCCGTGGGTTGGTAACTATGTCCAGTCGCTACTGAACTGGAGCCCTGGAGGTGCAGAGAGCCACCAAAAGGGGGAACCGTTTCCAATGACAGCAGAGGATGCTTCTGGATGCTTGTCAGAACGGAGACTCCTGCGCAGCTAATCACAAATCAGGTCTCTAGTTCAGGGCTCATGCAATGCGGGACAGAGGGAAGTACCAATAGATAGAGGCTGCTCCCCGCATCGCCCCATCCCCCTTCACCTGGTTTACAGGGGATGCAGAGTCCATCC